TCATTGACTGCCCCCCAATTTTATTTTAGATTTTGCCTATAGAGACATTTCACACGAGTGAAATAACATGTAAAAAATATTAATTTCTGCATTATTTAAATGGCAACAGTTTGGAAACAATATGCATGCCTATTTTAGGAGACTATTTAAATTATATTAATTAGAAATATAACTTTTTGTGGCATCATGGAAATCTGTAGGATTTATTACAGAATAAAAAAGAATATCTGAGAGTACTTGATAGCATGTTCATAAAATAACTGTAGACAAAAACAAGAGACTAAATAGCAGTGATGTAAGTTAACAAATCGGTGGCTGTGAGAAGGAAATTTTTCGATGTATACCCTGACCTTTCAATTTTGGAACTATAGGACTGTACTATGTGAAAAAATATATTATGAAATTAAAATTTAAAAATAGAAATGAGGGGTGCCTTGGTGGCTCAGTTGGTTGAGCATCTGACTTCAGGTAATAATCTTGTGGTTTGTGAGTTTGAGCCCCATATCGGGCTTGCTGGTGTCAGTGCAGAGCCCATTTTGGAGCCTCTGTCCCCCTCTCTCTACCATTCTCCTGCTCACACACTCTCTCTCTCAAAAATAAACAAACATTTAAAAACATAGAATGAGATGGAATTAAATTAGCTGAGGTATTCTTACTTCCAGATAGTTTTATGTAGATCGATACCTACATAAAATGATTACTTTATAAGTCATATACAGAGAATGTATTAAGGAACCAAGATTACTGGAAAGTGGTAATAGATTTATAATTGATTGAAGAGTATGGTTGCTAGGATTGATATGCTAACGTTTCACATCTCTGTGTCTTTGCATGAGCTGTTCATTGTGCCTAACATTATCCTTTTCCTGGTTCCCCTGGTTTTCTATCTGAGGAATATTTTTCATTCTCCAAGGCCTCCTTCAAACGTTAAAAAAAATTTTAAAATAGATACTCTAGTATCTCTCATTTTGTTCTCTCCCAAGAACTGTGATTATGTATCAGTTATAGCACATATAACCATCCATTTTTTTTCCTTCTACTCTTCCCTAATATACTATAAACTGTTTGAGAGTAGGGATTATACCTCATTCATTCTCAGGATTTGGCACTGTCTGGCACATAGTAGGAGACCAATAAATGTTTGTGAAATAATTGAACAATAAATGAAATGCATTAGGTAATCAAAATGGTTGCATGAATATAAAACTATTTTAAAGAAAAATATAAGAATATAAAAGAAAATGGATTTTTATACGATGACTATTTTTTGTATTTATGACTGTTATGAAGTATAAAAGTGTGTGAAAGAAGTGCTATTAAAGGGCACAGTGCAACATTAATTTTGAACAATGTGCTCAGGCCTCAACTAACATGCACACCTAGGGTAAACTGAGGTGAATAAAGGTTAGGACATTTTCCCCAGATAATACAACTCAAAAATTGAACAATTAGGGATTTGAATACAGTCTGATTCCCCCAAAGTCTGTTCTCTCTGCAGTATAAATCACATATACAGTAAACCAAGACGATAAAAAAAATGACTAAAGCAAAATACAGACTTCAGGAACTAATTGCCAGTACATCTAGATTTTTTTTCTTCAACTTTTTATTTAAATTCTAGTTAACATATAGTGTAATATTGTTTTTAGGAGTAGAATTTAGTGATTCATCACGTGACACCCAGTGCTCATCCCAATGAGTGACCTCCTTAATGCTCATCACCCATATATCCCATTCCCACCCACTTCCTTCCAGCAAGTTCTCTGTAGTTTTCTATGTGTTCTCTATAGTTGAAAATCTCTTATGGTTTGTTTCCTTCTTTCTCCCACCCTTCCTCTATGTTTATCTGTTTTATTTCTTAAATTCCACATATGAGTGAAATCATATGGTATTTGTCTTTCTCTGACTTATTTCCCTTAGCATAATACACTCTAGTTCCATCCATGTTGTTGTTAATGGCAAGATTTCTTTTTGATGGTTCACATCTATATTTATTTATTCTATCCATTGGGAACTATTGGGCCAATGAGAAAAGTATAGAGATGACCAATTAGTACCATATTTTTCAGTTAGTTTTAGTTGTGCCTTAGATCTGCTCAATATTCATGGAGGGTGGAGATGGCAAGATGAAACCAAAAACTATGATTTCTTTTTCAAAATTTATTTCTTGAGAAAGTGAATCCCTAGTAAGGGTAACCAAGAGAGTGTGCGGATATTCCTACTGGGTTAGATTTTTTAAGAGTGTAAGATTATCAGTAACATCAGTAAGATCAGTAAGCATCAGTAAGATGCTTTGTGTTTACTTCTATCAAAAGCTAGGTTGATGAGTTCTTCAAATTCTGCTTTCCAATTTCTTTATTCAATATGTTTTCTGAGTGTTAGAAAAAGAGACCTAAAACTTATTTTTTAAATTTATTTCTAGCCTTTTTTTGTAATATACACCAAAACAAGTATTGTTTGGTCATTTATTTGGCCTGGGATATTTTGCACACACCTATTATTAAATTGGCTTATGTGAGCTCAAGATTTTTTTTAATTTTTAATACAAATCAGTGTAAATGTCATTGCTTAGATTTCAAAAGCAAAAATAATTTTAAAAAACAACTAAAAACTCAAAAAGAAAAAAGTTCAAAGTTGGTTAGAAAAAACACTTATTTCCAAGAGTTTTAGATTTAATAAAACTGAAAACTAAGTACTAATATTTTTCTCATCTATGGTTATTCTATTCTTTAAAATTTGCATAATCATTATACTCCCTTAAATTATAGGAATAATATGGAAATTCACTGATATTTATTTAAATAAAGGCATAACTTAGAGATACTGTGGGTTTAGTTCTAGACCGCCACAATAAAATTAATATTATAATAAAGTGAGTCAAATGCATTTATTGTTTTCCTAGTATATATAAATGTTATGTTCTACTATACTGTAGTCTAAGTGAGCAGTAGCACTATTTTCAAAAACTGTACATACTTTAAAAATACTTCATTTTTAAAAAATGTTATCATCTGAATTTTGAGCAAAGCGTAATCTTTTTGCCCATAGAGGGTCTTGTCTTAATGTTGATGGCTGCTGACTGATCAGGGTGGTGTTTGCTGAGGGCTGGGGTGGCTGTGGCAATTTTTTAAGACAAAAATGGAATTGCCACATGGATTGACTCTTCCTTTCACAAATGATTTTTTGGTAGGATGAGATGCTGTTTGAGTGAATTTTAGCACAGAATTTTTTTGAAATTTGAAGCCAATCCTTTCCAACCCTGCAGCTGCTCTATCAACTAAGTTTATGTAATATTGTAAATCCTTTGTCATTTCAACAGTCTGCATCTCAAAACCCTTTGTTTGCTCATCCGTAAGAAGCAATTCCTCACGTGAAAATTTTATCATGAGATTGTACCAATTCAGTCACATCTTCAGATTGCACTTTTGGTTGTCTTACTGTCTCCACCATATATGCCATGACTTCCTCCATTGAAGCCTTGAAACCCTGGAAGTCATACATGAGGGTTGGAATTCTTCCAAACTCCTGTTCATGTTGACATTTTGACCTCTTCCCATGAATCACAGATTTTTTTAATGGCATCTAGAATGGTGAATTCTTTCCAGAAGAATTTCAACTGCTTTTGACCTGATCCATCACAGGAATCACTGTCTATAGTAGCTATAGCTTTCTGACCTGTTTTTCTTAAGACTTGAAGTCAAAATTACTCCTTGATCCATGGGCTGCAAAATGGATGTTGTATTACCAGGCACAAAAATAAGACTTATCTCCTTGTATATCTCCATCAAACCTCTTGGGTGACCAAGTACATTCTCAATGAGCAGTAATATTTTGAAGGATTCCTTTTGTTTCTGTTTGTTTTTCTGAGCAGGTCTCAACAGTGGGCTTAATATATTCACTGAACTATGTAAACAAATGTTATCCAGGCTTTGCTATTCCATTTCTAGAGCACAGGCAGAATAGATGTAGCATAATTATTTTTAAGGTTTTATGTATTTATTTTGAGAGAGACAGTGCAAGTGGGGGAGGGACAGAGGGAGGTGGGGACAGAGGATCTGAAGCAGGACCTGTGCAGACAGCAGAGAACCTGATGCAGGGCTCAAACTCACAAACCATGAGATCATGACCTGAGCCAAAACCAAGAGTCTGGTGCTTAACTGACTGAGCCACCCAGGCACCCTTAGATGTAGCATAATTCTTAAGAGCCCTAGGATTTTTGGTATGGTAAATGATCATTGGTTTCAACTTAAATTTTCTGTCTGTATCAGTCCCCTAACAAGAGAGCTTATTCTTTGATGCTTTGAAGGCAGGCATTGAGTTCTCCTCTCTAGCTATGAAAGTCCTAGATGGCATCTTCTTCCAATAGAAAGCTATTTTGTCTACACTGAAAATCAGTTGTTTAGTGTAGCTGCCTTCATTAATTACCATAGCTAGATCTTTTGGATAACCTTCTGCTTCACCTTGCACTGTTATATTTATGTTATGGAGATGGCTTCTTTCCTTAAACCTCATGTACCAGTTTCTGCTAGCTTTCAACTTTTCTTCTGCAGCTTCCTCCCTCTCTTAGCCTTCACAGAATAGAAGAGAGTTAGGACCTTGCTCTGAATTAGACTTTGGCTTAAAGGAATGTTGTGGCTGGTTTGCTCTTCTATCCAAACCACTGTAACTTTCTCCATATCAGAAATAAGGCTCTATTGCTTTCTTATCATTCATGTGTTCACTGGAGTAGCACTTTTACCTGCCTTCAAGAACTTTTCCTTTGCATTCACAACTTGGCTGTTTGGTGCAAGATGCTTAGATTTTGGTCTCTCAGCTTTACACATGCCTTCCTTGCTAAGCTTTATCATTTCTAGCTTTTGATTTAAAGTAAGGGATGTACAATCCTTCCTTTTACTTTGACCCTTAGAAGCCATTGCAGGGTTATTAAGTGACCAAATTTCAATTGTTATGTCTCAGGAAAATAAGGAAACCTGAGGAGAAAGAGACAAGGGAACAGTTTGTGGAGCAGACACACAACATTTATTGAGTGAGTTTGCCATCTTATATGGGCATGGTGCATATGCATCTTATATGGGCATGGTGTCCCAAAACTTTTATAATAGTAACATCAAAGATAATAGATCACAGATAAGCATAATATAATAATCATGTAAATATTTGAAATATTGTGAGAATTACCAAAATGTGACAGAGACATGAAATGAGCTAATGCTGTTTAAAAAAAGGCACTGATAGACTTGCTCAACATAAGGTTGCTATAAATCTTCAGTTATTAAAAATTGCAGTATCTGTAAAGTGCAGTAAAGTGAGGTGCAGTAAAATGACAATTACCTGTAGTTTGATATAATAGAAGATAGTATTTACAGACTTACATTTATTACTTTTATATATAACTAATAGGGCTTTTTTGATGCCTGACATATGTTTACTCTAAAAGAAGTCATGATCTCTCCTTTGACCTTGAGAAACTGAGATCTACATTTCTGAGATAAGACTTTATAGGTTTACCAAAAAAAAAAAAAAAAAAGGATTTATGGGTTTTATGGATAGCCAAGATATTCTATCTTCTCAGGTTGATTTCCTACTGAAAATTATTCTTCTGATGATCCAAAAGTCAGGGGGGAAGAAAAGAAAGAAGAAGAAGGAGAAGGAGAAGAAGAAAAACAGTTTCACTATTTGAATAGTCTCACCTAATGTATTTATTATTCTTAAAAATATCTCCATGGATCATGAACTTAAGCTAAACCTTAGCTTGACATATCTAATGACAAGCTGAACAGAAAAAGAGATTGATAAACTTAGAAGTAATTTCTGTTCTGCTCCCTCCTATTTCCATAGCACATGTCTTTGACAGGGCTCAAGGCAATTGATGAAAAAGATAGAGCAAATATGAACTAATTTTCTCTACAAGGCCAAATTTAAGAACTGGGAATACAAAATATTCACTGGCACATTGCATTGTTTGCTGATGCCATTTGTTAACCTGTGATGTGATCCTGAAACAATGCAATTGTAAGGCAGCATTTGCGCATTTCTTTGTTGATTCAATCCTCACTCATTTCCAAGGCTTAAGTCCCTTCCTTCTTCCATGAAACCCTCTTGAAATGCTTCAATCCTAGCTCTTCTATTCTTTCTTAGAAGACCTATTGGACTTGTAGTGAGTTAAAACCTCCTTCATATTTTAGAATGAAATATTGACAACCACTTTGGTATAAAAGCAGTTGTTTATTGAAGGAAAACCTGTTAAGCAGCTTTAGTTATTATTTTGTTTGGGGATGCACCCCCTTCCCCAGTCTTTCCTTGCTAGAATGTCAGAGACTTAAATTTTGATCATGATGGTTAATTTTATGCATCAGCTTGACTAGGTCATATGGTGTTCAGATTTATAAACATTATTCTGGATGTGTTTTTGAAGAGATTAACATATGAATTAATGAACTGAACAAAGCAGATTTCCTTACCCAAATGGGTGAGTTTCCTCCAATCCAGTGAAAGCTTAACTTTGAACAAAAAGGATGAGCAAGAGAGATTTTGCTCTCTGCTTGATGGTTTTGAGCTGGAATATGTTATTCAGAACTTCAGACTGCAGATATTGGGACTTCTCAGCCTCCGTAGTCAACTGTGCCAATTTCTTATACTAAATCCCTTTTTATATATATCCTCATATTTCTATATCTCTGGAAACCCCAGGCTGATACAGTAATCAATGGGGAATGGCTTTTTAAAAACGTAAATTCTGGAAGAGAAAAAGTGGGGAAAGGGTAGAGGGAAAGAGGGGCACGGTGAACAATCATTGCCTTTTTAGTCTGCTTCATAAAAAAATCTGGTATTGACCTCATCCAGTATAAATTAAGTCTGGTGTTTCCATGCATTTGTAGAACTCCAAGGAGTCACAGAAAACAATCCATTTGTTCCAGATGTTCCAAGCCACCTAAATTATGCAGTCTTAATCCAAATGCATAATCTGAAAGGAAAAAGCAGATATATATATTTTTTTACATTCTCTCTGCAACTCTGACTTCTTTCTCTTTTCTGCCTTCTTCTGCCTGATGAAATTATGAAGTGGGGTTCATGAGAAAATGGTTAAGAAAGAATTCTTGAGATTGGTGCAAAAAGATCGTTTTATTATAGCATCGGGACAGGACCCATGGGCAGAAAGAGCTGCACTGGGATTGTGAGGAGGGGCTGATTATACACTTTTAAGTCTATAGAGGGAGGGGGGGATAGAGATAAAGTAAGTCCTTTAGGAATTTTGCAAGCAAGGCTTTCAGGGCCTTGCAGGGCTAGCTGCTGTTAGGATAAGGTTACTTTTAGGTTTTAATAAAACATAGACATTAAGGCAGTAAGGGAGCTATGTGTTCCCTGAGGAAGGTCACCCTCTGTATGTTTCAGGGGTCTATCAGTGGGCTGTTAGCTGAAAGGAAACTTAAACTACATTTCTCTTGCCTTTGTCTCCCTCATCATCCCCCCTCCAAAACAACTTTTATCCTTAAATCTTTAAGGTTGTTGAGGGCTGAAGGGCTCACCTTTTGTATCTCCTTCCTGCTGAATAGCGTTGTAGAGATGTCCCTACCTGTGGGTCAAGGTTGGTCGGTTGAGAATTTAATAGGAGTTAGGGAAGGCTACAGCAACTGTATCTAGAGTTGATATCATATAGAAGCTTTCTTTTTTTAAAATATCATTTATTATCAAGTTGGCTAACATACAGTGTATACAGTGTGCTCTTGGTTTTGGGGGTAGATTCCCATGATTCATTGCTCACCTATAACACCCAGTGCTCAGTAGAAATGATCATCTGTCCACTTGAAGTTACGGCAATGAAGGAGTCTCACACCAGGTGGAGGGACTTGGGAGAAAAGAGAAAAACATGATTAGAATAACAAAAAGAAAAAAAAGCCCAAATAAGAACCCTTTGATAGGTGACAAAAAACTTCCTTTAGTCCAGGAGTTTAACCAATTATTAAAGGAAAGAAAGGGATCAGTTAAAGTGCCAATCTGAGCATTTATGTCAATTGGAAATCTAGAAATATTATGGTAATCTGGAATATATATACACCATTTTGGTTTTATGATAGGATAAGTTCCACCTTGTGCAGCTGTTAAAACATCTAATGTCATTCTAGTTTGTCGAAGTGCCTTATGCATTTGAGTTATTTCAGTGTTTCATAATATATTATTTTGAAAGTTATTTAAGGCCTTAATTGTGTAGCACGTGGTGTTAACCATCATACAGACACTGTTTTGTTTGGTAAGCAATCAGATAATTAATAAAGGCACTTTTATGGAAAGAAAAGAAAAATCTAGGTTAATGGTTAGAGCAAATTATAAACCCAGTGTCTGAATCTTGATTGCTGTCAGTGAGAAGATTTTTAGATGCCAGGCTTGAAGCATCCTCAGAAGGAGTGGACACAGGAAGCAGGAATCTGATTGGTTTTTCTGGTTTGTAATTCAAATTATTCTGGTGATCCTTTTGAGTGGCCCATAGAGCAACAGGAGCAAAGATCATCTATACATGAGTCTTATGGCCATTTCTCTGAAGTTTACCTCAAGGTGTCTAGCTTTGGCAAATAACAAATATTTAAAGACAATCGGAACTAGAATTTAACATTTACAAAGATGTGTTATTGAAACAATTTCTCCCTCTAAAATCGCCCTTATTGGGGCTCCTGGGTGGCTCAGTTGGTTAAGCGTCTGACTACTGCTGAGGTCGTGATCTCACAGTTTGTGACTTCGAGCCCCACGTCGGGCTCTGTGCTGACAGCTCAGAGCCTGGAGCCTGCTTCAGATTCTGTGTCTCCCTCTTTCTCTGCCCCTCCCCTGCTCATGCTCTGTCTCTGTCTCAAAAATAAATAAAAACAGTAAGGTAAAATAAAATTGCCCTTATTTTCAGAGATAGCCAAATTAAGGCTAATTTGTTTGTAAAACAGTCCAATTTTAGAATATTTGGCCTAATTATTTAATAAGCTCAGCAAGAAGAATGATTGATCACATAAATATTTTAAAACTTGCTTTGCTGGAACCTTTTATAAGGAAACTTGATGAACTTTTAGTATCCTCTCAAGACTAGAAGCCAAGCCAAGTACTTGCCATCAGACATGCCTGTAATACCTTCAGATTTGGGTGAATTCCTCTTCAGGAGGTTCCCAAAGTGTTCTGAGGTTCCTGCACCTGCCAGGAAGTGACATTCTTTACTCACCCAGTAAGGCCGCTGGGAACTCTGTAAAGCGAGGTATCAGGCCAACGTTTCCAAGGGGCTTTATGGCACTGTGTTTCCTAAAGTCAATGACTCAATTCCTTAAAGCTGTCTAGTTCATATCTGAGTCTATGTATACCTCTCTCAAATAGGAGATTCCAGTCAAAGCCTTGGCAAAGTAATCAATGTTTCCAATGGTTTTCTGTCGCAAGAACAGATTCATACTGAACTTATGCAAATTATTATAATTTCCATGGAAGAAAGAATATTTACTAAGAGTTTTTGAAATTTAGAGGATCCAGGGAGAAAAGTTAAATGCTTTAAAAAATTTTTTTAACGTTTATTTATTTGTGAGACAGAGACAGAGCATGAACGGGGGAGGGGCAGAGAGAGAGGGAGACACAGAATCGGAAGCAGGCTCCAGGCTCCGAGCCATCAGCCCAGAGCCCGACGCAGGGCTCGAACTCACGGACAGCGAGATCCTGACCTGAGTCGAAGTCGGACGCTTAACTGACTGGGCCACCCAGGTGCCCTGAGAAAAGTTAAATGCTTTAAATGGTTCACAAAGGAATATTTTATTATACTTTTGTATATCATAGTTATCTTAAGAGACAGTTTTTCAATCTGGAAAAGCAAACATGAGAGAACTAGAAATATTTCAGACAAGAGCCATAAACTAATTATTGTCTAATTTTTTATTAAGTTTGAATGCAGCTTTTTCTGTTCTGGAAATTTTTATCCATTTTATTTTTATGATTTTAAATATATCAAAGTCCTTTTTTACAAATATCCTTAATGGTGAAACATTTTGTAAATGACAAAAGATTATTATGCAATTGACAAGGAAATTCCATTATTTCTGTGACACAACAATAAGGTCATCTCTCAGTATTCTGAATATTTATCAAAACATATTAAACTTCAGAAATTTTATACTATGCTATATATATCATAGCATTTATAAACAGCTATAGCATTTACCCAAGCAATACAACCTAAATTTTATCATCATTTGTTTGACAGTGCTAAGTAACTTAACATACCAAATAAACAAGCTTAATTGGTCAAAAAGACTTTATTTACAATTTAAATCTCAGGGAAGTTTGTTAAAAACTTCTGATAGTTACAAAGCACATGCCCAGATAGGATTACAGACCATTTTAAAACTTAATTATTTATTTTAAATTTTTTAAAATTTTGTTTATTTTTTAGAGAGAGACAGAACATGAGCAGGAGAGGGGCTGAAAGAGGGAGACACAGAATCCGAAGCAGGCTCCAGGCTCTGAGCTGTCAGCACAGAGCCCGACGCGGGGCTCAAACTCACGAACTGTGAGATCATGACCTGGGCCGAAGTTGGACACTTAACTGACTGAGCCACCAGGCGCCCCTAAAACTTAATTATGTAACTAAGGTGGCAATAAAAATTTAAAGGCAAATGTGTAGAGTTAAGTAGTTGTTAGTAAAACTTAGCTCCTTTAATACTGATAAGTTTTAGTTCTCTTAAGTAATCAAAGACTTGATAAAGAACTTAATAAATGATTTTCTGGGCAGACAAAATAAAAAAAAAAACACACTTTGCTTACATTTTTTATTAGGAGCAGACCAAAAACCAAGAAAACTTTGTCTTTTTGACAGAGACAAAAGCAGAATTTTAATCTTAGATCAGTGTACTTTTAAAATTAACCTTAGTTTTGATCACACATAAAATTCTTTTTTAAAGCTTTCCCTTCACAAACCTTCTGCAACTTTCTTTTGTATTCAGATTTTTACCTAAGCCATTTTCCTCCAAATAACCAGTCTCATTTAAGAAACAATTACCTTCTTTTACCTTCAACAAAAATGTATTCCCATTTCTTAGGAATTTTCTTATATATCTCCTGCTTTTGTATATATAGGGTTGCTTTCCTTATTTCCATCAGTCTGAATTACATTTAGTTTTTACTGGAGACTAAGGTTTCTAAGCAGTAAGCAATTGTGAACTGTTATACCAGAATTCTTTAGATGACAAGCTTATGAATCAATTAAGCAGAAGTATTTTTTTTAACAGATTTAAAATAGGAAGGCAAAAACATAAACCTATGTTCAACACTTCCACATTTCATCCTATTTGGAAAAGGTCTACATTCCAACGAATTTAATCCAATTTCTCATCCAAGCAAAACTTGAAAGTTTCAGGTTACGAAAGACTTTGAAAGCTATTTTAACAATTGTTCATGAGAACTTTGAGACAAATTAACCATTATTTTAAGTCATCCCTTTGCTAAAAATTGTTGCAACATAGATGACATGAACTTATTTGACCTTCAGTAAACTGAGATAGAAAAAGTTGCACATTTAATGTTGATAATTCTAAAGACTCTATTTTAATTAAAGCAACAAACTGAAATTAGTTTAAATACCAAATATGTTCCATTTGGACCACTTGAAAGTCAATTTGTTCACCTTTGTCAATTTTAACCAAGGGGACTGGAGGGGAAATCTGAAGTGGGAGTAGAGGGAGGGGAAGGCAGAAGAGGTGAGGTGCCACCAGGAAGGTTGGAGGCAGATAAAAGCTCAGAGGTCACAGAAAGAGGTCTCCCAGTCCTAAAGCTCATCAGCTTGGACAGATGAAAAGATAGTGTTTTTTGATTTATTTGTTTTAGACCAACAAGCAGAAATGGGCAGTCCACCTAGACCAGAGAAGACAGGGAAATTCCCCAAAACAAAAGCCTGCTTGGGACTATTCCTTAACGTCCCCATCCTAAGGTAGGTTAACCACAGATAGTTGGCTCCAATTACCCTAGCCATTAACCTGGGAAATGAAGGAAGGAGAAACCCTCACCTACAGGTAGAGTAACCTGAGTCTATTAGAAGAACAGTGAGAGAGAGAGTGTCAACATCCCCTTCCTTAAGGACAGCCTGTGTTTTCTCCAATTCAGAGGAGGCCTGTCTAGACAATTATCCAATATATCAGGAGAGAGTTTATCAGCCTGGTTAGTGGCCAAACACATTCTGCAAGAGGCTTTTATGTTGAGGTCCTGATTTAGGGCCATTCAGGGCTGGATATAGCGTACCTCAGTCCATTTGCCCTGTTTCCTGCAGAAGAGATCTAATTGATAGGTTAGAAATCAAGAGTCAGATGCTTAAGACACTGAGCAACCCAGGTCCCCCCAAAAAGGCATTTTTATTCCCTCAAAACTCCCAATACACTCTGTAAAGACAATGAGGCCCCAAGCATGTGCAAAATGCAGTTTTAAATCTAGGGATCTAAGTCACAAATGTTAGTATACATTAAGAATGGATAGACTTAGGAAGTAAATTATTTGTAAGGCAACATTGTTGATTGTAAACAAAAAAAAGGTATCATAAATGAAAATATCTCCTGTCTAAGCCTTTTTTAAACTTAATCTTGATAGCCCTCTTTCCAAAGAGATATTTTAATCCTCTCTTTTCTCTCCTTTTGTCACATTATTTTAAAATCTAGGGATCTTATGACAGGGAAAACTAAGAATTACTATTTATGTATTTCCCTTATTATTTTTGTAGGAAGGAATGAGGGAAACAAAGGCAAGAGAAATATAGCTTCAACTCGGTCTCCTTACAGCTTGCAGCCCACTGATAAGACACCTGATAGTCACACACACAGCGTGACCTTCCTCAAGGAACACATGGCT